CCTTGGTACCAATTGAGCATCGTTGCAACGCCACAGCCTACCTGAGTATTGTTGCTGACCATGTCCATCCCTTTATGACCACAAAACCGTTACTAGCATGGTGTACCTAATAAAGTGGCCGGTGAGTGTATGTAGAACTGTTTGGATCTGTAACCAGTCTTGCGTCTAAGTTTAATTAGCTGTGATGAATTTTAAATCAGGTTGACTTCAAAACTTAAAATCAGCTGTAGATGTAGAACTGATTGAGCTTTATTAACCCTCAGGTCCTTTAAGATAGAACAAAAAACAACTAAAAATACTGAAAGGATGCATTACTTTAAAAAATGACAAATATGGGATTAAAAGTTGTATTAATAATAGTTTTCAATGTGGCTGATTTTTTCCCTTAACGCACGACCGATGTGAAGTTACAGTGAGGTTTGAGTGTTTAAAATATTTTTAAGGATTATTAGGATCGGTCAGAAACACACTGACAGCACTAAAAGTAAAGAAAAACATGGACAAGAATAAATGCATGGCTGATTCTTTTCACCTGTAAGACCTTATGAGGGTTAATATCTGTCAAGATTTTTTTCTTCTTTCTGCTCCTTTTCATTTGACCATGCTGTGCTGTGTTTTTTGACGCAACATTATCATTTGTATTGTTTTAATTGTTAGAATGAAAAAAAAATTTTAATACAGTATTTTGCTAACACAAATGGACAAAAACAGCATTCAACACCAGCGGCAGGCAATAATCAGCTGCCTTCAGGCAAAAATGATGTTTCTTTCCTAAAACTTTTACTTCATTCTGGCATAAAAATCTAAAAAATAAATATTTAAATATATTTTAAAGACTAACTAGAAACTAACTAACTACTAACTTTAAAGATTAACTAGACTAGTTTGACTTTTTGTTGCTTAAAATAATTTGTCAGTTCATGAAAAAATAATTCATCTTCCTTTTGACATTAAATATTTAGTTCAGCTATAAAAGAAAAAAAAACATTAGACATGTCCTACAGCAACGATAAGCACAACAAAGAGACAAGGACACACTGAGGGACATCAGGAGTGGGTGGGTGGGGGTCTGTCAAATGTCTTTACAACAGTGGACAAACACAAACACACAAAGACACACAGTTCATATTAAGGGAAATGGTTTAATTTCAAGACAGAGGTAAAGAAACACACCACACAGAAACACTGACCAAAACAAGAAAAACTCAAAGAAAAACAGTCTTCAGCTATGCACTCCTCTAAAATAGGAAAAAACAAAAACAAAAAGAAAACTACACAATTTAAAATCATGGCTCAAACTCAGTTAACTTGAAGTAAAAACAATTATCCACACAAGTTGTCAAAAACCCTGACCATTAAATTTAAGTGGAAAGCACAAATACTAACATGAAACGTACGATTATAGAGGATCCCAACCCTCCCCAAAAACTAAACTAAAACAGATCCGAGTTAAACCAAGACCAGGATCAAGATAAATCAAAACCAGGCGTCTTTTAGGGGCTAAAGAAAAAAATAAGGGGAAAATAATTATTTGGACTTTACCAAAAGCCAGAAAAATCAAGAACAGGCTACTTTAAAGCAGCCAGCCAATTTTTTTCTCTTCAATAAGTTTTGTTTAATTTTCCCCCAATATAAAAAGCGTCACTGGTACAAAAATCCATATGAACAACCAGCTGTAGAAATTTGCCTGTTTGTGTCTTTTTTGAATCCCACCCCCAAAAAACTGAAGAAAACTGGACTGTTTCTAACATCAAAATGCATCACTTTGGCTTTCCTCAAGACAAGACAAAACACCTAGTAAAGTATTGATTATCAGAAGGGGTTTTTTTTTTTGTTTGTTTTTCTTTTTAAACTTGTCAGACCAATATTTATAGAAATGCAAAGCTCACCACACCAAGAAAATAAAATATGTGGGGAAAACCAGAGGAAAATAAAACAAAGTGATTGTTAGAGCTGATCAGGATTGGTGATGGAAGCCCCTGAAGTGAGTTCCTGTTGGGATGGCTGTGACTACACACTGTGCTTTTTGAATTTCACTTTTCAAAGTTGTTTGTTTTTTTGGTTCTGTCGTTTCACAGCAAAACCCGAAAACTGCGTCGCTTCACTCGTGTCCCGTTCGACACGCTCATCCACAAAACCCCAATTTTCAGCTCTTTTTCTTTCTCAAATTAGTTGAACTCGCCGACACAAAAAAAAAAAAAAAACCCCGGTTGGTATCGCAGCACTCGTGTTCACTAACAGAGACATTTAATCTTTCAAATGTAGAAGGGAAGTTTATTGTTTATCTACAATGCTTTAAAACCAACCAACTGTTCAAAATGAGTACATCACAAAATACAATTACCAATAACACACAGAGTAAAGAGGGGACGGGGGGTGAGGAGAAGGGGGACATCATCAGGTGATAAGAGCTTTCATGACTCTGGCATAAACAAACCAAAGGAGAGAAAAAAAAAAAGGCGAACTGCAGCAATCTCTAAACCAAGGCCTAATAAGAATGTGTAGGCAGTTTCTAGACGCATATATGGCACTTTGAATATTGTATTGCATTTGGATAGAAAAAACACTGTAAAAAGCACATGCCCATAGTATATTCAAAGAAGAAAAAAAATTAAAAAGAATCGGTGGTACCTTGAAAAGGTTGGGGATCAAAATCACACACACCACATTCTGTCAAAGTGTTTCAACTCCCACAAATTGTGCTTAACATTTTCCTTACAAAACTAGAACACTTTGAGCAGTGTTTCAAATTGTTTTTTTTTATAATATTAATGAGTTTTAGGGTGAAGGGGGAAAATAAGAATCTAAACGTAAAAAGGTCAAATAGTGAAAATTGTGCATTTTTTTGTGTGTCCTGCGTTGTTGAGTTTCAAACACATAAAAACCCCTGAGTTGACAACTCTTTAGCGCCACCAGGTGAGCAGTTTTTGGGACCCCTTTTACTTGTATTTTTTGGTGGTGGGGTGGGAGAGAGAGTGATTTTAATTATTTTTTTTGTCTTTTATTTTTTAAACCAGGGCATTGTTTTTAAACAACGTGTAGCACAACAGAGAAAGATTTCACCCTGATAAAAAGTGTAAACTTGGTGCAGAGTAATGGAATGTTTTTGTACACCAACACAATTGTGGTGGATTTAGTCTTTTTTTTTTTTTGTCTTTTTTTGTTTTGTTTTTGTTTTTAAATGTGCCGTGCGATGTAAAACTGAGACCTCACTTCAAAATAAAGAAATAGGATAAAAAGCTTAAACATGCATTAAAAAAATTAATAAATGTGCGGAGACCCACAGGTTGTGTTGTGTCCGAATGATCTCTTCTTCAGGGGCTCCCACTTGTTCAAACCACTAAGTGTGTGTGTCGCAGTGTGTGTGTGAAGAAAAACTAAATGATACAGCAAAAACAAAGGTGTGTATTAAAAAAAAACACTGAGTTTGACACATGGGCACTTCAAAACTCTAACAAAACATTGTCTAGCGTCTGTATGAACAGATTTTGTAAATCTTTCAAACATGGAGGCATCAGAACTGAACCAAAAGTCAAACATTAGTCAGGAGGAAATTTCACAGAAAGTTAACAAGACGTACCATGGAAGCTGAACACTTAACAATTAGCCTCAAAATGTCATCCTTTAAAAAAAAATTGTTCAAACTCAATTTTTTTCTTTGACTTCTTTAAATTTACAAATATCCCCAAACAGTCATGCTGATTAAACTGATCTTTAGTCATCTTTAAAAAGGAAAAAAAAAAGTAGTAATACAACTGAACGCCCCCTCCCCTCCAACACAGATGACAATACAACATAAATCTACAAAAAACCCAAAGTTGCGCCTGGGTTCTGTTAGTTAAACCTCTATAGATTCAATGGTATAAAATATAGGTAATCTAAGTGTGCATTTAAACCACAGATTGTCTATTTGTGAATCAGTTCTAAAAAAGTCGACTCGTGTAGGTAGTCATTTCTCTCAGAGCAAATGTACCTTTTATTGTGCCATCGATAGTTTAAGAAAAAAAAAGTAAATACACAGAAGAATTTTTGGAAATAAAATTTTTAAGGAGCTTTGATGTAAAATCGTCACACTGCCCACGTAATGTAGAGATCAATACAGATCGAGAGGGATTTTTCCTGGTCAAGCTTTCAAAAAAGTGTTGGAAAGTGGTCTGTAGGATAAGTTTTCCTTTTTCTTTTATTTTTAAGAAGCCAAAATATTGCTAATGGCACCAGATAGCACAGCTGGATGCCAATCCCTGTATTTAACCTTCAAGTGAACTTTACTGAGAGAGGTAAAAAAAAAGTAAGCAACGTAAAAAAAAAGTCGCTAAATTAAAAGTTAGAAATCCCACAGGTTTTTTTCCCTCTTAAAACATTCGCAACAAAAATAATAATTTCACAATAAATTGCTTGACCTCTCTCCTGCCCTTCACATTTCTATACAGAGAAAAAAAAAAGCAAAGAAACAAACAAAATAAAACACAAAAACATGAATATACATGCAGAGAAATCAGGTTGAGCTAAGGTCAGGGTCAGTGGGTGGCCAGGTATTGGTCAGGCGAGCTTAGAGAGACATCACAGACAATGGTGGGGTGATGAGGCCAGAGGGGAGGGGGGTTTGGCTTGGCTTTCAACATCATGAAGACATGCTAGGCTAATGATGAGCAAACAGGCATGGAGATTTGTTCTAAGAAAGTAAAAATAAAAAGGGAACAAAAAACACGAAGAGAGAGGAGAGACAGAGACAACACAGAGGAGAGAAGAGAAAGTTAGGGGCACAGCACAAGAATCATTTAGCCATGAGGCACAATAACCAACAAATAATGCCAGTCACCACAAACAGTATGGACACAGTAGGGTAAACAACGCCCTCCCTCCCTCCCTCCCTCCCTCCCGACACACAAAAACAATACACAGATTTCAGGAAGTGACACCACTAGGACATATGGCAGACTCTGACATGCACATACTGTATACTTGGCACCCAAAGAGATCCGTCTAGAGCCAGTCTCTTTGTGGGAGACCGGGAGGATGGATGGAATGACTGGAGGAAGTTAATAGAAGAAAAAAAAAAGAGAGAGAGGTAGCCTAGCTCAACATGGCTTACATAATGAAAAAACCACAGACAAAGAGGAGATGAGGGGAAGAAACTGAAAAACGTCTAGACTGCAGAGTTTTTTCCTCTTCACATTAACGATAACACAAATGAGACAGACCACGCGTTAAGAAGTCAAACTCAGGTCGAAGCGCTGGGCTCAGGGTTCGTCTGGCTTCAGCCCTTTAACAAAAAAACCTAGCTGATCCTCAACCTGTCTCATTTTGACCTGAAGGCAATGAAGTGGGGAGGAAACGCGCCCGATGCTCTCCACTAAACATACAGTGACACCAAGTACCTCCAGCAAACACTGACTCGTGATCGTCATAAATAATCATATACAATAAAATATTTAATCAGACTCAAAGTACATGATAAAACCGCAGGAATGAAATACAACAAAATGTGGAAAGATCATTGCATTTTTTTCCTGTTTTTTAACCTTTTTTATTTTAATAAGGAAAAGGGTGAGTCTCCCTCCTGTGGTGGGCTCCTGTTCCCCCTGCCCCCCCTGAGTCTCTGCTGTGGTGACCTTGGCTGGAGGCTGAACTTACCCTAGCAGTGCTAGCATTAGAGCTGGGGAGGGGGGGAGACCCCCAGCCTAGGATCAGTAGGGTTTGCTGTCGTTCTTGGAGCGCTTCAGCTGAACCTTCAGCCTCTTCATTCCGATCTGGAAACCGTTCATGGCCTGAATGGCAGCCTGCGCAGACACGGGATTGTCGTAGCTGACGAACCCTGAGAACAGAGTGCAGGTGTTTTATACAATCACCACGTTATTCTGGTATTTACCGTATTTATGTGTATGATGCAAAACATTTAACAAGGAGGGTAAAAACTGTGGTGTGTGTTGTTAACCATGAGATGTAAAAGAAGATATGGGAACAGCACCAGAAGAGCTGCTCCTCAAAGCTGTCCATTTAGCCAATTTAACAACCAGCTCCTGCTGTGGGAGTGGACCAGTAACAGATAAATGACATAAAGAAGCACGTGCTGCTTCTCTAAAACCCCCTCCTAAAACAAACACGCCCACAAGCCTTGTGTGAAAATATATGTCCCCAAAAATAATCTGTTTCCCCACCAGAGGGTGCACCACAAATGCTGAAGAATACTCGAGTCTGTATGAAATCAGGGGCAGCAGTTTACATGATAAAAAGCATTTTAAAAAACCTTTAGATTAAAATAAAAATGAAGGGTTGCTTTCCATACGCCCAAACACAGTAAATAAAACATGCATATTTAAAGGTTCTACTTAAGTGATAAAAATGGACAGTGATGTTTTCAGAATATCTGAAGTCTAATTAAAATGGGTAAATTCTAAGAAATAAACCATCCAATGTCCATGTCCTGGGAGGTTGGGCAGCTCAGTTTGGGAGGAGGGGATGTGAACATGTCCAGACCCTCGGTGAGGACAGGAGGGGCTGTGGTGCTCTCACCTGGGCTCAGAAAGAAAGAGCCACCCTACTCTGCTCTGATTGGCTAAAACTATGACTATGGTTCACGTTATTTGTTTAAAGCCACGTCAAACGTAATCCTGAGTTATCCACCGCAGACATAAATTTTTTATTACAATTTTTTTTAACAGATGATGAAAATCAGTCGTGTGAACAGAGCACTGTGTGCAGGTGCCAAGTCCTGTTGGAAAATGAAATCTGCATCTCCAAAAAGTTGGTCAGCAGCAGGAAGCATGAAGTGCTCTAAAACTTCCTGGTATGTGGCTGCGTTGACCCTGGACCTCAGAAAACACAATGGACCAACACCAGCAGATGACATGGCACCCCAAACCATCACTGACTGTGGAAACTCTACACTGGACTTCAAGCAACGTGGATGAAGTGCCTCTCTTCTTTTCCTCCAGACTCTGGGACCTTGATTTCCAAAGGAAATGCAAAATTTACTTTCATCAGAGAACATGACTTTGGACCACTCACCAGCAGTCCAGTCCTGTTTCTCTGTAGCCCAGGCAAGACGCTTCTGACGCTGTCTGTGGTTCAAGAGTGGCTTGACACAAGGAATGCGACAGCAGAAACCCATGTCTTTCATACGTCTGTGTGTGGTGGTTCTTGAAGCACTCACTCCAGCTGCAGTCCACTCTTTGTGAATCTCCCCCACATTTTTGAATGGGTTTTGTTTCACAATCCTCTCCAGGGTGCRGTTATCTCTCTTGCTTGTACATTTTTTTCGACCACATCTTTTCCTTCCCTTCGCCTCTCTATTAATGTGCTTGGACACAGAGCTCTGTGAACAGCCAGCCTCTTTAGCGATGACCTTTTGTGTCTTGCCCTCCTTGTGCAAGGTGTCGATGGTCTTCTTTTGGACAACTGTCAAGTCAGCAGTCTTCCCCATGATTGTGTAGCCTATAGAACTAGACTGAAAGACCATTTAAAGGCCTTTGCAGGTGGTTTGAGTTAATTAGCTGACTAGAGTGTGGTACCAGGTGCCATCCATTTTGAACCTTTTCACAAGATTCTAATTTTCTGATATGCTGAATTTGAGATTTTCATTTGTYGTCATTTGTAATCATCAAAATTAAAYGAAATAARCATTTGAAATATATGAGTTTGTATGTAATGTATGAATATAATATACAAGTTTCACTTTTTAATTGGAATTACTGAAATAAATCTACTTTTTCATGAWATTCTAATTTTATGACCAGCACCGGTATATATAAAAAACTTCATAGTCTACACTTACCAAAGCATTTGCTCAGATTGGTCTGTTTGTCAATAAAGACTTTGGCAGAGACCACGTTTCCAAAAGGCATGAACATCTGCAGAAGATCTTGGTCCCCAAACTCCTGTGGCAGGTGGTAGATGAACAGGTTGGCGCCCTCTGGCCCTACTCCAATTGGTAATAAAAAAACAAGAACTCACTTTACTAACAAATCTTTGAATACATGAAGAGAATCACTGAGTTCATGAGAGTAAAGAGCCGACCGTGTCAGAGTGCGTTCAGGAACTATACTCACCTTCCTTCTGACTGCCAGCCATGCTCTGCTGCAGCAGAGACTGGCTGTAGAGGGAGGGGAGGGCGGAAGCTGTGTACTGCTGCATCCCTGAGTAGGCCTGGGTCAGAGCGTCCATGGAGCTGGCAGCCGACCCGTTGGCCAAGGAGGCTCCTAGGCCACCATTCATGGCCCCCATACCTGTAAGGTGAAAACGCACTGATGAGCTGCTCACACAAACATTTAACTGTCAGAAATGTCTCCTGTAGTTCTGTAGCAACAAGGACATGGAACAGCTGTGTCTAAATGTTAGAAATCAACTCTATATTGTTGAAAACGAGGAGATTCTCACCACCAACGCTGCTTGTGAGCGCGTTAAGGTTGTTGAGGCCCATAGAGGTGCCAGTCAGACCCTGCAGTGTGCCCAGAGAAGCCAAGGTGTTCATGGCAGCACCAGCACTGGACCCTGCTGTTGACCCCGCTGTTACAAACAACAACAAAAACACACTTTGTGATTGATATGAGCGCACAGCGTGGCAGTGAGGAGAGCATTAAATGACCGTCTTCATGAGTGGCGGCCATTACCAAAGTAAACACCTGCACAGATTAGAAATTAATGGCTCCTCGTTACATTTTATGTGGCTGATTAAAGCTCATAAAGTACATTAGCAAAGGGATGAAGGTCATCAGGCAAACAGCTGATCAGGGATGTTTGAGGGGAAGGGCGACCAGGGAAATATAGTTTTTAAAAGGTAAATAATTTTTATCCTTCAGAGTTATAAGTTAAATGTGGGAGTAAAGTAAAAGAAGGAAAAACAAAACAGATGAGTTATAAAATAAAATAATTCTTATTAAACCAAGTGTAGCTAGTGGACTCCAAGCGTAAGGCACAGGTCTACATTTCAGTTGGTGTTCATGTTCAATTCACCTGGACTGGCCAGAGCCCCCAGAGCGCCGCTGTTCGTAGACAGAGGATTGGTTGAACTCGGGCTGCCAGAACTCTGGGCTGCAGCTGCGGCTGCTGCCAATGTGGCCAAGTTCTGCAGCTGAAGAGGGTTCACACCTCCTGAGAATACAAACAAAATAACATGTTTGTGTTCCTTCAGACAAGTGTCACAAAAATATCATCTGTAACATTTCAGGTCGGGGTGTTTCTAGAGTCAGGTCGGGGGGGGGGGGGGGGGGGGGGGTCAAACTCAGTTACAAAGGGGCAAAACCTCAAGTTTTGCCAATTTGTCAATATTTATTGAAAAAAATGTTTTATAACTAAGTATTTTTATAGAAACACAAAATATATTTTCCAAACTGTTATGTAGAATTTAAAACATACATAACAGATAAAAAGATTAGACTTAGAAAGAAACATAATTAGAATTAATTTCTTATGCCTCATCTCAAACATGTTTTTCATTTATTAATTTATTATATTTCATTTAGACATACATTTGATCACAATTCAGTAAATCAGGTAAAAGAATAAAACTCACTAAAAATCATATTATTTGACCTTAAAATAAAAAAGAATGCAGCAAAAATATAGTTAAAATCAAAGATTACTGGAAACAAGTTAAAACTTAATTTTCTTGGCTGTAAAGTTGGCCAGCTGCCATGAGAAGAATGTGACAAAAAACAAAACTTTAAAACTATTCAGATTTAAAGTTTTACCTTTGGGGCCAGGAGAAACACGGGCCTAAATCTGACATGTGGCTTAGGAATATTAAGTCATTTTGTGACGCCTCTTTAGGTGGATAAATGTTGGATTATATGTTTACCCAAGCTCTCTACTGTACTTTGAAAATGGACAAATGAAAACAAAGCTTGGTACCTTTTATATTTCCATCATAAAAACACAGAATCACCTGTAAGATCAGACATGAAATCATGTCCTCAAACAAAAACCAGTCACATTGTGTTTCTTATTGTGCCAGAGTCACCCTGACTGACTACATGTATTCATCCTGCCTTCACAGGCTCACAGATTATTAATGTACCACTGATCTAATGTCATTTGCAGAGCCTAAAACCATGCAGGCAGGAAGTGTGTCAGAGCTGGTGCCAGGAGAACTGGTACCTTCACAGCCGTTTTGACATCTGAATGGGATGAACTCACCTCCTAGCCTCTGAAGGCCATTGAAACTGCTTTGATTAGTGGTCGACGTGGCCTGCTGGAGCAACTGTGGAGCATAAAAACACAAATTACCTAAAAAATATGTGCAAACTGATTGTGTAATGTTTTACATGACCAATTAGTTTATTTTTAGGATCAGCATCAACACCAGATCAAGGCATGTTAACAGAAAAAAAGCTGCATTTTCTTTGAAATGTTACCGGAGCGTTTTTTTTTCCTCCCCCTCTCCTGTCTGATCAAAACACATCGTTCTTAAATGATGAAATAGCAGCTTGACAGTTTTTTTGTCCTGATTTTCTTGGCAGGAAAAATAAACAGCTCGTCTGTTCATGTTTAAGTCACGTGGTCTTTGGCTCAGAACTACACGAGTCACGTGTCACCATTCTTCAGCCAGAACACAAACCGAGTGGGAAGATGTTCCCACTCCGAGCCAAGTGAATCAGTTTATAGTTCTGGTATGAATACTGCACGATATTTTACATTTCACACTCTGAGGCGTCGTCATTTACCGAGCCGATTGAAATCAAAACACCTAAAACAAAATGTTAAAACACGTCACCGTCACCCAAACTTTCATCCATTTCTGTAGCTGTGAAGTTTTTCTACAAAACCACAGAAACCAGAACTGTGACGTGTTTTCCTGAATTAAATATAAATATATATAATATAACCAGCATTCTGGTTAACCTTGTTTTAATGTATACATAAAATTAATACAGGAGTAATGATGCAGCTGATTTAGGTGGGGCGTTTGAGCATCACTTACAGCTAGGTACTGTGGTGTCAGGGTCCCAAGCCCTGCCAGGTTCCCCCAGGGGGCATTGTTAATCTGCTGGATTTGCTGCACGAACTGCTGCTGCAGGCGGCGCTGCTCCTTATCCCGCTGCGTGTCGGCAAACTTCGCCACCAGAGGCGAGGAGCAGCCCTGAAGCAATAAGAGGTGAGAGACGTCAGGCCGGTTCCAACGCACACAGAGGAATTAACTGTTTGCATCAACAATGCAGTCACACTGTGGCGAGGAATTAGCTTTGGTATGCAGACATATCAAAGCTAAGACACACAGGACATCTGCCATGCATAGCTGAGCCAGGCTACATTCCAAAATAGGTACAGGACATTGGTGCAGACGGGGGAATCGTTTTTAAACACTGCGGGGCTGAAGTTCAGTCCACAGATTAAAAAAAAGGCAACAAATGAACACGTTTGAAAGAAATACAGACATTCAAACATGGATTTGTCAGTAGACATTAAGAAAAATGCATTACAAAACACAAGATCTCGCAAACACAGTCACAAATCGTTGAGACAGACGCATGGACAAAGCATGCGGTGCAAACATTTTGAGTTGAGAGCCAGACGGGGACCAGGCTGGACAGGGAATATGGCTTCTGCACCAGCAGCACCTCCCACGGCTGCTTAGAAATAAGGGAGGATATGATGCAGGGGGGCGGGAGGGGGAGAATAGGTGGTGCCCTCGATGGGGCCCAAATTTAATCTGGTAGAAGAAGCGTTATGTTTGGTTGAACTCCTAATTTGACTTGGTCCAACACCTCACTGGGGAGCCTCTGACCTAGCTGTCAAATTATTGCTGCTCTACTTCCACAGAGACTTGACTGGCTACACGAGAGCACAGTCCCAGTTTCTGAAGAGATCCACTGTAGTCTACATTAATTTCTTGTTAACCCAAATTTGATGGGTTTTTTTCTTTCTATTCTTCCTCCCCTGAGGTCCAAAATATAGACCGACAATGGCAGACAAATTTGTAGAGGCTAAAAATATTACTCAAAAAACGAGACGCATTTAGTTCATCTTAAAATAAGAGATTACAGCAGCGCCGCTTTAACTTTCAATTATTTCACAGACAATGATTTAATTTTGTAGTTAGCAAGAGCGTTTCAGGAATGAGTCATGCTCTGATGAACGAGTGCCATCTGTTTGGGGGAACCTTTCGTCTTTCAAACACGTGGGGGCAGTAAAATGTATGAGGGGGGAGGAAAGGGGTAAATGAGAAATAGGTGCTAAGGGGTACAGTACCTCCATAGTTTGAGAGTGATGCATGGTTTTGATTGCATTCTGTGCCATTGCCCTGGTAGCAAATGTGACAAACGCACAGCCTGTAGGGGGGGAGGAGGGAAACAATAGGAAAGAGGGGGAGGAGGGAGGGAGGGACAAGAAGAAACAAAAACAAGACAAAAAAATAGGTTTGGACAACTCGTTATGAACCCCCCAAAAAAAGACATTACAGTACAGAGAATGGCAACTCCCAAGCACACAGAACCACCCTCACTGGTTAGCACATGGAGAAAGAACAAAACAAGGAGAACAGTAACACATGAGCACAATGATCAACAGATTAAACCACCGTCTAGAGAAAGGGCTCGACTATGTGGTGTCATGGTGAGACGGTCAACATGACTATACTGACAAATATGCAAACAGACTGATTTGCAGAAATAAATGAAGCCTGAAAACATGAAAAAAATAAGCTCAATCGGATTTGAAGGGATCCCTGATTAGTTGTAACATTAGACTTTATTTATTTAACATTTATTTTAACTGTTAAGACTGAAAATACTGTAGGACGTTCAGTTTTTATCATTTTTAAACTAAAAGTTTAAAAATATATCACACGGACAGGGCCATTTTATTTAYACGCAAAGCATTCTGGGTAAATGATGACGTGTTTAGGTCCTCGGCTGCTAGCGAGCTATATCCACCCTGAAGGTTAATCTTRGACAATATCTGATGATCGACTCTTTTAAATGAAACCAGAGAGCGTTGACAGAGAGGAGAAGGTAGAAATGACTCAGCCTGTAACTGAAAATATGGATGGAGAACAGAGCTGCTTCATGGAAGAAGAACCTCAGCTTAGCCTGTTAGCTTTAGCCCCAATGCTATCACCATATATATATGTATTAGCTCAGCGCTACACATTCTCCTCTCATCACTGAGGTCCTCCATCCACATGACAGAGAGGGGAATGCAGAAATGACTCAGATTGCAACTGAAAATATGGATGGAGGACCTCAGTTTAGATTGTTTGTAGTGCTAGCGCCGAGCTAATACATATAAGGCAATATAGAGTTGGCACTAAAGCTAATGCTAACAGGCTGAGGTTCTTCTTCATGAAGCAGCTCTGTTGTCCTCCATCCATATTTTCAGTTACAGGCTGAGTCATTTCTACCTTCTCCTCTCTGTCAACGCTCTCTGGTTTCATTTAAGAGTCAATCGTCACATATTGTCCAAGATTAACCTTCAGGGTGGATATAGCTCGCTCACACTGAGGACCTATCCACGTCATCATTTACCCAGAATGCTTTGCGTGCAAATAAAATGGCTCCGTCCGTCTTAAAATATATATATTTTTAAATTTAAAAAACTGAACATCCTACAGTATTTTTACAGTCTTTAGTTTACAGTTAAAATATGTTTATCAAATAAAGTCCAATGTTGCAACTAACCAGGGATCCCTTTAAAGACAATTCCTTCAAACAACTTAAAAAAGCTGAAATCCACAGCTCAGTGTGCTTGGTGGGGGTTTATCATACACACACAATACAGCCCACTGCTTCATGCAGCAGAGAGCTACGCAGGAGATGCAGCGACGAGGTAATTTCAGTCTTTGCGGTGTGTGATTAAGGAGGAGGTAAAGGAGCAGCTGAGCTGAGCCGCCCGCCAGCTGAGCCTATGAACACCAGCAGCTAGCAGTTTCCAGGGCAACAGGGGCCATTGTGCTGGACAGCGAATGCAGCGGCTGTTCGCTGTGACGTGTGTGAGCTAAGTAGTCAGTGAAGGCAGGACAGGCTGTGGGGCTGGAAAGAATGCTCCTGGGAGTGAAACAACACTTCATTTGGAAAATGCTAGGTTTAAACTGAAGTGTGTGTCTGTATAAAATCTGGATCTCTGTGGCTGTTGTGAGGCCAAGAGGGCAGCGCTGATGTATTAAAACTACACCTACCTCTGCTCTGACCATCTGGGCCTCGGAGGATTCGGCACTCTTCGATCTGTCCAAAAGACGAGAACATCATTCTGACCTCGTTCTCGCCGTATTTTTTTGAAACCATTCCCACGAAGAGTTTTCTGTCTTCCACTGCTACAGACGGATGGGATAAAAAAAAACACAGTTAGCAGCACAGATATCCAACAGTAGATCTTGGCACTTTCTCTCCGTGTAATGCTGCAGTATTGTCTGCCTCTCACTCAAAGTCCCAGCTTCTTGTGCAAATCCTGGCACTTCGCAGCTTTGTTGTTACTCTGTAGTCCTTTTTCCTCAACACACTCCAGCAGACGTGTGCTCAAAATACAACCTCAGTACCCTTTTGAAAGCCCCTAAAAATCCCTTTACACTTTTCTAAATTAGGGCAGTTCTAGTTTCGCAAAGTCAAACCTATCATCTTAAGTTTTAATATTTTAAATCTGGTATTTGTTTCTAAATGCTTTTAGTATCATTATGCTTACAAAAAAAGGACTCACCACTTGTTTTCTCGCTGTCAGCAGGTTTCATCTGGATAGGATGATGCATCTGAGGAAGAAAAACAAAGGCAGCAAATTAACATTAATCATCAGTAAAAACTATGCAGGTGTTGGCCTTGGTATCTTATTTTCACACATTCTCAAAATCATCGACACAACCTCCTGTTCACTCTCTACCATGATCCCTCTCACTGCTAGACTCAGGGGGAAGCGTCTACTGGTATCAAATTCTCCAGGATCCAATTTCACTTCAAGCTATACTGTAGGTTTCTGAATGAACTTATTGATTTTTTTTTCCTGTCAACATCCTTCAGTTTTATAAGAATTTCAGCAAATGGTTGACAAACACAAAAGCTCAATATTGTTTCCAAATGTACGGAAAGTTTTTGTTTTTTAATAGCTGCTGTCTTTACACCAACACGCCACATACAAATGAAACAAAGAATTCACAAATCTTAGCTGTGAAAAATCTAATCTTAGCCTGAACACCATGCTCAGTTTCAAGCTCAGGGTGTGAGAAAATGAAGGCAGAGTTACTTTTGTAGGATCTGTTGTTTTCTGCCCTTTAATAAACACTGGAGTCCTAGGAGACGTACAGCTTTAAACAGATGTAGCTATAGAACATTTACAAACGGTGTGCAATGGAAAAAAAAAAAAAAGAGCAGAAAACTCAAGTCGTGAGATGGTAGCTGAAAAGTGGTGGGTTTGTTTGTGACGCTCTCTAAAAGGGGAAGTGGACAGATGGCCTGCACGGTATGGAGACTGGCTAGCGTCAATGACCAAGCAGAGGCACAGAAGGGACAAAAAAAAGAGAGAGAGAAAGTGAAACCAGTTTTTCTACTGTGACACAAAAGTAAACTCAGTCACCTGCGTGAATGCCAGAATAAACAGGATCCAGGATTGAGATTTGAGAGCTGAGCTGTCGATCCACACTTTATTTGAAATGTCTGGCTGATTGATAGTCTTCCAGTGAACAGAGTTAAGACTGTATTGCTCAGCCTGCTGAACTCATCCATCAACCCACTTCAATATGTCCCTATAACCTCCCTGACAGCAGCTCTTTTTTACAACAGACTGGGCTACAGTTTTAATTGACAGCTGAAGCTGTTTGGTATGGATTAAATTGATTGGAAAGAGCAATTTAGAACGATTCCCAGGCGTGACAGGTTCGTAGTGGTTTAACAAGCCGCTGCACTTATTCCAGTCGAGTGGTCTTCAATCTCTTTGGATAAATCAGGTGATGAGTTATGAGGCCGCACTCAGGAGTGACTGCTCTCTTTTGAGACTCGCCCTCTTAAGGATCTTATTTTGAGTAGTGGAAACAAAAAAGCATTTTATTAAGTACAAGCATAATTAACTCGTTCAAACTCATAGTGACCGAGTGTCGTGCCTCAAGGACTGACCCAACACCACAGTGAAAGCACGCTTTGCGTCACATTTGCTCTCGAGTTTGGGACGATCCGTTTTCAAGTGTTATAAAGTTCAGGGCAGCCTTCGGTTGGTGATAGCAGGGGGTTGAAATATTTCTCGGGCCAGACAGGCGTTCAGTGAACCGAGAGCTCATTACTGGCCGGAACACGGCTCACAGCCTGCACCGGAGACGTAGGGGGGCTCGAGCAGCTAAAAGCAGCCCATGCTGTGCTTACTCACCCCAGTTAAGGTCTTTATGTTGTGCAGTGCATTCTGGGCCTCCAGTGCAGCTTTTCTTGTATAAAAAGTTACAAAACAGCATCCTAGAAAGTGAAAGAATATAAAAAAGGGAGGAGGGGGAGGGGACAAACAATGGTAGGGGAGAAGGAGACAAAAACAACATTAAAAACACAGCACATACAGACAGTAAATTTAACACCCTGATTGCTACAGAACAGAGAAGATGCGAGGGTGTCGTGTTTGGAAGGTGGCGGGTTATTCCTGGAACCAACAGTGCCATGATAGATGGTGCACACCGACCGTGTGGACGGCTGCATCAAGAACTCAACAGTGATGAGTTGAGATGAGGCTGTGACACGGCCACAGAGACGACCACGAGGTTAGAAAGCTGTCAGAGGACATTGACAGACAGTCGATGGGTCAACACAGCCCGGGCACGCCAGGGCAGAGAAAAAATGACAAGCTTGTCCAAGTGTTTCCACACCAGAAATTTAACATCTAACATTCATACTGTAGGCGTATAAACAAAACAAAGAGACAAAAGGAAGGAACAAATGCAAAAAAGAAAGATAGTGGGGGAAGGGATAAAAAATAAAAAAGCAAGGTGGGGGAAGAATAAAAAAAAAAGAAGCTTCTCATCCTTCCATCCCAGCAGACTGCCAGTGGCGTTCCAGCCCGTCAGTTTCACTGGGTTGGGGAAGTGGAGCACTGCAGCGTCTCTGACCTACATAGTGTGTATTATTCTGCTACTGGAGCTCCCAGGCCATGGGGAGGGCTGTTGAACTCTAATATGCATCAAGCTGCACTCTTCTCTTTCACAACCAGCTGAGTGTTCTCGCTTTTGCTCTGCCTGGACACCAAGCTAGATAAAAACACCAGATCAGGGCAGTCCAATGATTTTATTAGGTGACCTAAATGGAGCACAAGTCTCATGTTGCTCAGTAGAAGTACAGGAAAGAAAACACTGATGCAGAATGAGATTAAATTAAGGGTGAACCCTTTTTCACACAACATAAGCCAGATATCAGCAGGCCTCTGTGTTTTCAGTAAAAATCCCTCCATCTCAGTAAAAGCATGTGGTAATGGTGTCGCTAAGCAAATTCAACTCGCACAGGCTTCAGTGAGCTAAAGATGGCAGTGATCAGGCCAGATTATCTATCAGAATATATTAACATTGCATTAACATGTCAATAGGACACCACAGCTGACACTCTGAAGAAACAGGGAGGAGCTGTCTTCAAAAAATAAGAGGCTTTGAACTTTTATTTAATGAAATGCACAGTGTCGAGAGCAGGTATGTACAATTGGAGCTTTAATGTGGGTTTTTGTGCAGTTTAAACAGATGAGTTTGAGCATGAGTAAAAAAAAATCTTGATTTTAATAAAAGGGCTTGTCCCGACAGAATGACTAGTAGTTTTTGAGAATGAATTGGTGTGAAAACACACATGTGCACTGACGATGACTGCATTCAATAGTTTTCCACATGTGCGTGAGCAGATGAACAGTAGCAATGGTGGAAAGCAGGATTTGCTAACACTTTTCAGCATGTAGGAGCAACCAAACCTCATTCATGGTCCAAATGAAGGCTCATGTCTGCGAGCATTCACGTGTTGAACGGAAATTAAGACAGAAACAGTCCCAGAGATGTCCCACGTGTTAACAGGACCTAAAATCAACATAGTCCCACCACTTTAATCCCAAATAATGGATTATTGTCTGATTGCTATATTGATTACCCACAAAGGCAAACAGATTTTAGTTGACTCCTAACAGTTCCATCAGAAAAACTTCAGCACTTTATTTACTTGTAGTTGGTTATGGGAGAGTGAATACTTAAATTTCTGCAGACACCCGGTTTTTACTTCGATGTCTTCTGTAATTGCAACCTAAACTGAATCATTCAACTGGAGAATCATCAGTAAAAGGTAAGAGCTTTGACTTATGTCTTAATGGAGTATTGCAGTAGAGTAACGCTTCTTTCATTCAACCCCGCTTTGAAACAGCATGACAGGAACAAAAGTGTGACACATGGCTTTAAAAGACTCATCATACTTTTCTTTAACAAACCTTGACACAAGAGTCGGTTGAATCATCTTTTCTGAGCATTAACAGTTAGCATGTACAGGCATGATATGCCGTACACTGCTGCAGGGAAAAGAGCTGAAAGCACATGTACACGAAGAACACTTTAGTGCTTTTATGTTTAATAAATCACTCCACAATGAGCGATGAAATTCCCCACCATTACACCCCCACTGACTTTACTGCACCATTAAAGCTACTCACCATTTTTGGTTTTAACTTATTTGGTTTGTTTACAATAGGAGTGTGCAACTTTACATTTTTTGCAGTTGTCAGCAGAAAATAACAAAAGTTCAGAAAAATGTGGTGTTAGCTTCCCACTATTTGTTGTCCATTACTAATATTGTATCCAAATTCCGTGTACAGTGCCCTGAGATGATGTATGTTGTGACTTGGCGCAATTTTAAATAAACTAAAAGTTGTCATTTTTACCTTTGGAAGACAACCCACCAATAAAGCAATTACTGTCAACAACAACAAGACATTGACCTAAATATTATTATGGTATCATCATGGTATTAATGCTAATGGCCCAAAAGATAAACCATTTCAAATGTGGCAAAATAAAATATTTATGGAGGGGTAATGTTTAAGTATCTCAAAATTAGCATAGATGCTAACTTAATATTGAAATCATGATAAAACAGCTAATTAGGGATGAACAATATATCAGCACTAATATCGATACAGGCCAATATTGGTCATTTTTTAGAATATCGGTATCTGTCGGATATGTAAAACTGGGCCGATATTAATGTCCGATACTGACTTCCCACTTTTTAGCTTTGTTTCTGTATGGCTTGGCGATATGGCCAAAAAAGTATTTTTTTTTTTTCATCCCGAATTCAATTTTCGATTTTAATCAATTTTGTTTTCCACTTAACGGAGTTCTTCTGTTTCAGGTGTTGAAACAAATTTGTTTTACTCCTGCTTTTTGTAGCAAGAGCCTTCAAACACATTTTGCAGTGAGGTGATTGTTGCTCCAAGTCCGAGGTTGCAAAACTAACCAGTTCCAGAAAACTGAAGAAACTGTGCCTTTTTTAGGAAGTAGATCCTCTTTGCTAGCTGCCATACTGTCATGTTGTGTATCAATCATCTTGAGGGACAGGTGGGGTGACCTCTGAACTACAGAAGCCCAGAGTGCACTGGTGGGGAAAAAAAAATCCAGATTTTCCCAAATTAAATCTTTATAAATGGCAAATTCGAATTAATTGATTAAATCAATTTATCGTCCATCCCTAGGTTTCTGTTTTGGGACGGGAGCTGGTTGGTTGAGTGGCTTCTGTTTGATCATAATAGTGATATTAATGCTACGCAGCCAGGAATAACAAAGTAGAGCCATGTCAGAGGTCTGGTCGTTTATTTACGTTTATCAAATACAGACTCAAGTGTGTTTGTGCATATATGTATAATTATAATTTTTGTGTGTAATATCGGTAAATATCGGTTATCGGCCATAACAGCAATAATTATATCGGATATCAATATTGACCGAAATTTTCATATTGGTGCATCCCTAAAGCTAATGTGATTGGAAATGTGTTTATCACTGAAACAAAATACATAAATGTACCACACCTGCAACCATAAATTGAAACAATGAAGATCTACCCCAACCCCAAAAATAAAAAATCTTTAGTAATCCCTGACTACTTTAATCTAAAAAAAGTACAGGCAGTTCATAAATGGAATGTGAACGGCACCAGCTCAGTTTAATCAGAGCTACTTAAATGTTCATTAAAAATTCATGTCTGTCAAGCGTTCACAGTGGCCATGGTGATAGAGCTATATTTTGTTTTATGTTATTCAGTCAACAAACCAAAAACCAAATATTTCCACTTGATCATACCTTTGCTCTGAGGAGGGTTCTGGGTGCGATCTCGAAGAATGTTGATCTGGTACACTGGTCCGAAGGGCTCAAAAAGCTCTTTCAGTTCCGTATCTGTCCAAGAACGTGGAATCTGTCCCACAAACATTTTGATTGTATCTGGGTCTGGCTGGTCCATGTGCTCCAGTGACCCGTTCATCTTGCTGCCGTTGCTACAAGGGAGAAAAATAAAACAATGTTGATTACCTTTTTTGGGTTTTAGCAAAATTTCAGATGTTTGTGTCATCAGTAATTTTCCTGTCAGGTTTACCTAAAATAAACCAGTGATTTTTTATACAAAGCAACAAGAAGCGTAGATGACTCAAATACCAAAAACATTACTTTTCCCCTGAAATGTTGCCATCACCAGTACTGCTCTGTGACTTTTATTATTATTATTATTATTATTATTATTATTGATACGGTAAAAAAATGATGAAATGTATTAATTTGATGGCTTAGAATGACTTAGTAAATGATGCTGTTTCAACAGCTTAATAGGGGTGTAAGAAAATATCGATGCACTGAAATATCGCAACATTTCATTTCCCAATACTGTATCGATATTCTAAAGCCCTGTACCGATTATTTTTATTAAGGTTTAAAATGTCAACTTTCCTGCCA